CTTGTTTTTTTATAAGTTTTCATTTTTATATTATGAAAATAAGTACAAAGTATTTTGTGTGGGTTTCAAAAGCTGTTTTGATTAGCTGAGTCAATTAGGATCAAAATGCTTCATAAATGCTTATTCCAGTAGATGAGGCCACATAAGCTTAAAAAAGAAGAAGCTGTTCTATCAGATAATGAAGATGCTAAATGTATTTTGGACTAAAGGAGAATGATTCGTTTACATTTTTTTTTTACAAATTACATTAAGTATGACCGATCATACACTATTGATTGAAGTATGACCGATTATACTTAATATAATTTGTAAAAGTTTGTAAACAAAAAAATTTATAAATATAACCTTCCTCGTATATAAATCTTCATACCAGTATTTGAAGTATGGAGTGACTACTAAGATTCATGATGAAAAGTTGAATTTGGCCATTGCTATGATGAATATAAACCAACAGAGAAAAACACAAAAAAAAAAAAAAACAAAAACAAAATGGACAGCTTCATATATATCCAGGGATGGTTGTCTAATATAAGAATCAAACACAATGGTTGCCAACTCATGCAATGTTGATTGATCTTATGTCACGTACATTTTAAGAACGCCAAAAGCTTATAGGAGACCAAAAGAAGGATTTTGTAAGTTGAAATATAATAATTAAGGAACATGACTTTTATTTGATTTGTTTCCAACCACCAGGGCCTCCCTAACTAACAGAAAGCCTTAATGAAATAAAAGTGTTGTTATTTACCCAAAAAAGTGGTTGCCAAAATAACAAAAAATAATTTAATAAACAAAGGTGTCAAAATAACCTTATATCTCATTACCTTTGTCATTTCAACCTACTTTTGTAGGTCTTAAAGCTCTCTATTCATTCTTTAACTTTTATTGAAATAAGATTATGAAATTTACCAAAAATAAAAAAAGATTATGATGTGCTTTAAATTAAATTAATAGTATATATATATATATATATTCTAACTTTCTCACTTTAGAAATAAATTAACTTTAAAGTAGTTTTTATTCTACAAAGAAGAAAATGAATAATATTAGAAAAAAAAGGCTTGTATTTATCAAAACACAGTCAATTTTATTTAAAATGACACAATATTTTTAAAAGGACAAAATATTAGAGATGTCGGATTAAAAAAATGTATCAGAATCTCGTTAGGTTACCTTGTCGTCCCCATTGTAAATGACACTCATATATCGCATTAGAAAGAGAGAATTCCAATTCCAGTTGAGAAAATAAACTTTTCAATATTTTTTTGGAGGTAATTTATATGAGTTCTAGAAATGTTTATTTGGGCCACTTGAGCTTATGTTATGTTGTCTAATAAAATAATAGCTTGAGTCTTAACCAAATGTTGAAGATGAAAGTTGGATTCCCTCGGTCACTAATCGTATTATCTTTTTTTGGAAATTGATACTAATTATCTCTTTGAGGTGAATCAGAACTCTCTGATATCCCCATGAGTTCGACTCTTTAAGCTGCCTATGAGACTAAAGGTGTGCATGACAACCATTCTATTCCCTAGCACTGTTTCTGAAAAGAACTAATTCTTTTCTATTTCTATGCCTTGGAGTAGTTTCTGAAAAAAAAAATGTGTTTGATAACATGTTCTATTTTTATTCCGAGAATGAGAATTGCATTTGATAACACAACAAATAATATAATAAAAAATATTTTCTATTAAATATAAATTTTTTTTGAATCATCACTTTCTTTTTCATATGGTGTGGTTGTGGTGGTGGTGGCGGCGGAGGTATGGTAATGGTGGTGGCAGTGACGTGGGGAAGATAATGGTGGTGGTTGTGACGACAGTGGCTGAGACGATGACGATGGTAATGGTGGTGGTGGAGGTGACGACAGTGGCTGCGACAATGGTGGTGGATATGGTAGTTGGTGGCGGCAACAATGGTAGCAGTGGCATAGTGGTGGTGGTGACTGCGGCAGTGGCGGTAGTGGTAGGTGACAGTGGTGGCGATGGTGGCAGTGGTGGCGATGGCGTGGTGATCGTAGTGGCGGGGGTGGTGTAATAGTGGTGATGGTGGTGACGGTAATGACTTTGACGATGGTGGTAGTGGTTGGTGGTGGCGGCAGCGGTGACAACGACAGTGGTGGCTGCGACAATGATAGTGGTGGTTGGTGACAGTGATGGTGATGGTAGTAGTGGCGTCGTGGTGGTAGTAGTGATGGCGATGGGGTGGTGGCAGTGGCGTGTGATGGCGATGGTGGCAGTAACGACAGTGGTTGCGATTATAGTGGTGGTGGTTGATGGCGGTAGTGGTGATGGTGGTGGTGACGGTGATAGTGATGGTAATTATGGTAGATGTAGAGAGTGATTGAGAGAGATAAGTGTTTCTCATTTTGTGTCCGGGAACAAAAAAGCAGAAATTTTTTGATTCTTTTTTCTGTTTCCCGGCACAAAAATTAAACCGGTTCATCCTGGGAACAAAAAAATAAATCGGTTTTATCAAACGAGTTTTCTATCCATTCCTGTTCCCGAAAACAAAAATTAAAAAAGAATTGATTCCGGGAAGGTTGTCATGCGCACCCTAATCTAACCAGTATTATCTAATTCCATTTACAACTAAAAATAATTTAAAAAAGGGTCTATTTTGCAATAATTTGCAACAAGGTACAAAACTTACAAAAATAGCAACCCACATCATACCATTATAACCAAGACTTTCAAATGGTGGGATAACGTAAGGTAGAATCATTCGAGCTTGCAATTGGACGACGTTGACCATATTGTTCCATTTTTTAATATAATATACCTGAATTTTATGGAGTTGATTTTTTTTTTTCAAATTGTCATGGTAGTTGCTAAGGTAGTCAGCTACTATAGACGGGACACGTGTCACTTCCCCAATGGGCTGGACACGCAACCCAAAGTCACTGAGGTAGTAACTACTTTGATTTTTTAGCCGTTGGGAAAATGACACGTGTCCCGTCCACAATAACTGACTACCTCAACGACTATGGTGTTGAGGCAGTTTGAAATTTTTTTTCGATTTTATGACATTTAGATATATTATATTAAAAAATGGGGCAGCACGATTAATGTCCTTGTAATTGGAGCCGTTGAACAATACAAATTGCCCCACATTTTCCACACTTGTTGAAATGACAAAATCATCATATAAGTGTAAAGAAAATAAGAAAAAAAGATACTAAATATAATTTACGGAGGATATACTTATAATCTATTTTTGTTTACAATTTTTTACAATCATATCTTAACCGTTGATTTTCGTCAATCAACGATTATTATTTTTACAAATCAAACTCATTAATTAATTATTAATTCGCAATAAATAATAGCTATTGATTGACTGAAATCAACGGTTAAGATATAGTTGTAAGAGGTTATAAAAAAAATAGGTTATAAATATAGGGATAGGATATTGTGACACACAAATAATGTTACGCACAATGTTACGAGCACATCTTAATCGTTGATTTTCGCCAATCAACGGTTATCATTTTTCAAATCAAACTCATTAATTAATTATTAATTCGCAATAAATGATAACCGTTGATTGGCGGATGGTTAAGATGTGGTCGTAACATTGTGCGTAATATTATTTGTGTGTCACAATATCCTATCCCATAAATATAACCTTCCTTGTATAATTTATGCAAAAATTGTATGCATCTTAAATGACAAAAGTTGTGTCATTTTATAGATACAGATACGTGTGGGTCCCATTGAAAAAAATAAAGAAAAAAATAAAAATAAAAGTGTGGATCATACATTTTTGTATTTATGAAATTACAGAACTTGTGTATATTTTTTCCGTAATATATATGATGAAAACTAAATAAATGTAGGGTTAAGTTAATCTCATGCAGCATAAGATAGAAAATTTTTCCTACTGACCCTTCGATATCCGTGCTTGCTTTTTTCTTTTTTCTTTTAAATCAATGGGGTCCACATATATTGAGTCTATGACATAAGATACCTATCACCTACAACATAAGAATAATAATTCCCATAAATGTAATGCAAGATGTACGTGAATAACATTGTTGATTGGAGACAAGTCTCGTGTGACTCCAAAGAGTCCTGTTACACAAAAGACATTGCTCATGCAACTCACCTGCTTTTCATTACATTCATCAATTTTTTTTCTTCTTCTCTCTCTCTGTCTCTACTTTCATTTATATTTATCTGAGGTCTTTAATATTTTCTTTCTATGTCATTATTAATTTTATCTGATTCCAAATTGCAGAATTTTTCTGAAGAGACTTCATCCTCTGTGTCAAAAGCATAATTTTGTTCGTCTTCCAAGAGTTGCACGTGAAATGGTAACAGAGTAACAGACATACAAGGATTGTACTATTATGCATAGAAACCGGAAGCTTCAAGATTTAAAATATTCCCACTTTCTGCTATGTAGCTGTCTCTATTACCTAAGCAGTTGCAATTTTTATGATAATGCAAAATTCTTCAAATAGTGACCACAACATGACAAATCGAAACTTTGCTATCAGGTTGGTGGAGGCCATTACACCACCAAATTACCAATATGGAAATGGTGTCCTCAATCTTTTGTCATTTTCTCTCTGTTTCATATAAAATTAGCATCATATGGCAAAGTGGCATATTAATCCACGCCACAATTTTCTGAAAGCAAACTTGACCTAAGGAAAAATGATATTTTCTTGATTGAAATATAATGCTACTTTAATGCAAGATGTGGACACCACACAAATTTCACAACTAACCGAAGAAATATTTTTCTTTCTAATATAACCGAAAACACAGTTGGTTAACTCAGATGAGATCGAAATTTAAGGTTATCCTTATTCCTTGTTCAAACTTAGATGATACTTTGATTGCTATAATATTTTGGTCATACAATATGTGGATTAAGAAATAAATACAACAACATGCATTAATTCAAACTCAAACTCAAACTTGAAATAAGCCTAGTAATTGACAGATTAAAAAACAAAAAGCTAGTAATGGAATTGCCAAAATGATCCACAGTCCACAGCTGTGCTTGTATTGAAATTTTATTTGAGCTACATACAAACAGGTTATTCAACTAACAAGCAATGGTAGATTTTTTTTTACAATTTTTTCTGCAGCAGCTTCATGTATGTATTACAGCAGAATGTGTTCTTGAATCATACATTGGCTTTTGCATTTGCTTTTGAGGGGGAACAAAAGGGGAAACAAAACCTTTGGCAAAGTTTTTTGAACAGCTTTAAGGGGACATCAGTAATGTGCCCTTCAATCAAAATACCTACTAAATGAAGAGGTCATTTCTGAAATCCACAAACAATGAACTAACAACAAATCTACATAATTTGCAAGCAAGGAAAGCTTACAAGCCTTTCAGCAATTAATTAGATAACCTCAGCTGCCAGAGAATTCAAATTTGAACCAGAAACCACATCCTGTTTTGAAGTTTCACCAACAATTTGGACTTTACTCAAACCAAATGCATCCTTATCAGTACCACAAGGCCGGTAAAGATTCCTACCAGTTCTGAAATATCTTCCACTGCCAAACCTTGAGCTAGAAACTTGTTCAGCCGATTTAGAACCATGTTCCACTCCATCAGCATCTCTTAGAAATTCAGGCTCCTCAGTGTTAGACATAAGGTCCATCAAATTGCTGCTAAACCCCAAATCAGAATACACTCTCCGTGAATATCTCATTGCAGATTTTGACAATTTGGCATCCAAAGCATCTTCCACGCCTTCCAGTCTTGAACTGAATTGGCCATTTCTTGCTTCAACTGGGCGTCCCACAGTCTCAACCATCATGCAAGGATTATTAAAACCATTCCATGAATGAAGAGGCACCAATTTACACAACCCACAAAGCCAATTAACAATATCATTCATGGAAGGCCTTCTCTCCCTGCAAGACCTCACACATTTTGCTGCAATCAGTGCAAACTGCTTCCTCACAACCGGATCCTTAGGAGGTGCTATTCTGGGATCATAAACAGCCAGCAACTTCCCTTTCTTTATAAGAGGAATAGCCCAATCCACAATAGATGGTGGTGAATATGTTATATCAATTGCCTTCCTTCCACTTATAATCTCCAACAACAAAATCCCAAAGCTAAAAACATCAGTCTTTGTGCTCAAATTTTTAGGAGTCACATAACAAGGATCAAGATAACCCATAGTGCCAGCAGGTGGAGTGGACCTGAGTCTATAGTCATCCACATGGCCCCTTAGAGCCAAACCAAAATCACCTAACCTGGCATTGAAGTTGCGGTCAATGAGAACATTTGCAGACTTTATATCTCTATGAATCACAGGTGGGGTTGAGGAATGAAGGGTATCAATGGCCTTTGCAGTTTGCAAAGCCAAACGAATTCTCCTACCCCAATTGGGTGGTCTAGCAGAAGAATGAAGAACATCATAAAGGGTACCATTGCACATGAATTCCACAACCAAAAGCCTGTCTTTTGAATCATTCGAGAAACCCACCAAATTCACCAATCTCGGGCTCTGAATTTTGGACAAGATGTCGATCTCGTTGTCAACCTCGTTGTTGATCTCAGGTGCGGATGAAGAAGAAGAAGAAGAGATGGGTCTGTGAAGAAGAGAGTGAGGTCTAGATGGTCTCTTCACCGCAACAGGACGGCCACGAACAACGGCTTTGTAGACATAGCCATGGCTTCCTTTGCCGAGAAGCTTGCGGTCAGAGAAGCCATTGGTGGCAGCTTCAAGGTCACTGTATTGGAACTGTTGGATCTTGATAGGCTTCTCTTTCTCTTTCTCTTTCTCTTTTGAAGAAGAGAGAGAATTGTTTGTTGAAACTGCGGATTCAGCTCTGCAAGACATGTTGAGGTACCCCATCAATTAAAGTTTGTAGCTTTTTGGATTATGTCAATGAATGAATGAATGAACCAGAGAGAGTTGAAGTTAAAAGATGAACACACAAGACACAACACAAGTTAGATGAGATGAGAATATGAGATGATAGAATAGAACAAAAACAAAAAAGCAGAGAGACTTGGGGTGTTGTTAACAACGTTTTTACATGTTTTATGGGATGCAAAATGTGCAACCGTTTCATCTTTTATTAAAATAAAATGGATTTTGAGGTGTCTGAAAGAGAAAAGAGAGAGAGAGTGAGGGCCCCACTTTTTGGAAGTATCTTATGTATGCATAAAGGGCTATCGCCTATCACTCTATTGAAGCATATACATCCAATGTAATTAAAGATAATTTCCATGTTTGTATTGCCTAATCTATGTTTCTTGTGCTTCTAATTCGGGTACTACAACTGCAATTTAAAAGATGGGTTGAAAAACTCAGCCTGTCCAGTCCCATTTGACGAGTTGGGTGGGTTAGCCTGCTAACCCGAGCCTATTTAATACTGACCTGCCATCAACCCGTTTGAAAATAGGCTGAAAAACTCAGCCCGCCCCGTCCCATTTGGCGAGTTGGGTGGGTTGGCCCGCCAGCCCGAGTCTATTTAACACTGACATGCCTCGACCCGCTATCAACCCGCCAAAAAATAAGACCGTCTCGCCCCGCTCCAATTTTGAGATGGGTTGAAAAACTTAGCCCACCCTGCCCCGTTTGACAGGCGGGTGTAACGCCTGACAACTTGCAAGGATCAACGACTGTCCCCACGCACTAACACGAGACTTTTCAGCGTGCTTTGTCCTCACTCGCACACTTCCCAGGAGGTCACCCATCTCAGTACTGTCCCAAGTCAAGCACGCTTAACTATTGAGTTCTTCCGTTCCGGGCTACCGAAAAGAAGATGCATTTTGTTAGTACAGGTGGTACTAATTAATTCTTATAAGTCATTCCTACTGTATTATCCCATGCCAGCTCAGTCTCTGGAATCCCTCTCTTTCGGGTGTTGATTCGATTCATTCATGTACCCCGTCGCTGGAAGCCTGCCAGTAGCCGCTCCTTGTCCATGCCTTTTCGCACTGGCGATCACTCTCCGTCCTCGTCAGCACCCGGGATGTTTCAGCGGGCGGGGCGGGTTGGTCCGCCGAACCGAGCCCGTTTTGACGGCTCCAGGTGTATTATTTTTTTTTTTTTCCATCCCCTGGATAGGTGTGTAAGTTGATATTTTCTTGTATATTTATATACTTGATCACTCCGAATTTATCACACGTTAAACTGGAATTATAGCATGTTTGTATAATTGTAAATTGTAGTTTGAATTAATGAAAAAGTAATTTGTTTGATTTATTTTCACTTATACCACGGAAGACATTTTTAAGTAGAGATTTATGATTGCTTTATATCTTAAGCACTGTATTTAATGATTAATTTGGATAAAGACATTCTTTAAAAAATTGATGTACTTTTAATATGAGGTTTATAACTTTACATATGTTAAATGAATCGTTTATGGGAAGCAATGCCTACCCAAAAATTACTTCAAACCATAATTTGAGACCAAATATCATATTCAAACAACCAATTATATTTTAAAACAAAAGTCAACTGTTATTTTGTCAAACATATTATCATGAATGAAGCACTTCCAAAATAGGTTGGTGGCGTGAAACTATAATCCACAAACTGTTATTCTTTTCCTCCTCTTCCAAGTCTTAGCTTGCATCATCTTTGTCATCTCTCTACCACCCATTCTCGTATTATATTCCACCTTGTTTTCCATCTACACCTTCTAGTCAGGACATGAGTTTAATCTATAATCTGTGTACTTATTTCAATAATTTCTCTAATTTAGTGAACTGGTAGTTCATTGACCACCATATTCCCTATGATATTATTATTATGAGTACCTTGTTTATTTCTCTTTTGCAAACCTTTTCAAGTTTACGAAGTTTTTCATGTTATAACATACATGAATTTTTTTTTTTTTAAAGTTATTGGTTATAGGTGGGATATCGGGCCCCTACACAAATTTTGTACTATACACTAAGAAAACCAACCCAATTGCTTAGTGGGCACCACACTTTGGTAGCCCAAATGGCTAAATGTGGGTACTGCACTTTACCATATTGGAAAGGCACCCCATAACCTCCCTATAGTGCTTGGCACTCTTACGTAGTCACGTGGGTTCTCCACCCACTTTATGCTTCCAAATTATCATCTTACAAATGAGAGAATTTATTTTTTTAAGTGGTTTCTTAGTGTAAATGAGAGGGTAAAATTGAAAAAGAAGAAAAATAGCAGGAGTAGAAAAGAAAAGAAAAAATTAATGTTGTGAGAAGGAGCACTAAATTATTGGGTGGTCCTGGAGCCTAAAAAATATTTCCCTTACAAATTCAGTCAAATAAAAATGTTAAAAGATACTTATTACAAAGAATAAGATATAAGTGTTTATGAAATTCTAATTTAATGAAATGAGTATACTTTCTAACGAAGAAAGTCCTTCCGACATTATATCTCCACTCAAATTTCTGATATGACGATTATGTATATGTGCTCCATAAAATTAATAACTTTTTTAGGTGCTATAGCACTATAGAAATATTTCCCGTTCAGTTGAAATAACATAGTTTTGTTAACAAAGTAATTAGACATCTTAAAATTTAAGTCCTAATACTCTGTATCATCATGTATACGTAATTTAATATTATAATATCAGATAATTTTTATTTATCAATTTCACAAGTTGTGAAAGTAATTGTTCCGTGTGTTTATGATATGTATTATGAAACTACGAAGTCACCATTTAATTATAGGGTTCGCTTTTTCTGCCGTTACTGCAAATAAATCTGTAGTAAGCTCAATACGACATCGTTTTGGAACGAAAATTATAATATTTTTGTAATTTTAATTTATTTTAGAGTCATAATAGTCTTTATATTTATAATTTTTTAAGATTTCAATACCAAAACGACGTTGTTTTGGGAATAAATACAGACAGTAACTGCAGAATATTTTCTCCTTAATTATATATATATATATATATATATATATTTAATATCATTATTTTTTCTAATCGTTTGAATTGAATTTATATAATATAGTAATAAAAACATTATGACAAACATGTAGATGTGTCATAGTAGTTAATTATGTGGGTTGAGAGATGATGTGTCCAAGGATTTTTCCGAGTCCGTAGCCATTTACATCAATCAATAATTAATACATTTTTTTTATAACAACCCCACAGAACAAAATGACAACAAAGAAATCAACAAATTCTAATTCTAAGAGACTTGCTTGTTTGAGTCAGGTCAGCAATGAGGAGAAATCTATGCTTAGGAGGGGGTTCTTCGAACCAGCAAAAGTTACCCTCCAAGGAGTAGTTCAAAGGATAATTAGAAATCGCACAAAAGTTTCATTCCACAGAGTTTGTATCTGCAACACATAATATATTTTTCGGAATACAGTGTAATATTTTGTTATGAACTCTATTGCAAGGAACCTATTCTATTTTTTGTGGGACTCATTTTTGTATGTGTGTGAAAATGATAGATAAATTTTTCTACTGCAGAAAAATTAAACCCTTTCCTATATATGTGAATAAGACGTATTTTTTTTTGTATTTTTGCAAGCTATGTCTGAATGCGAGTCATTAAATGAGACTCGCGTCACCTGATTTGATGAGAGAATGATTATGCATGCAGAATCACTTTTAAAAATAACAGATCTGCACCCTTTTCTCCAAGCATTTTTCAAACCCTTTAGAACTCCTCAAAGCTCTGCAACCAAAGCTGAATAAATGTCAATCTTATATGGGAAACCACCAAACCACCTACCCATTGAATCACGGAAGGTACCTCCACAAGCTGCAGCTCCCGGGTTCCCTAAAAAGTCTATAAATGGTCTCTTTTTTTTGATTAAAAAAGCAGAAGCATAAAACTTCATAACCCTTCTTTAATGTGAGGGTTAGAATTTTAACTAAAAATAAAATAAAATAGAATGTAGCATATGGACATGTTAAAAGGCCAATACCAACTACATGTTTGTCTGTCTGTTTTTTTAATACATTAATCCTTTTGAATGATGTTGCTACGTGGTAGAATTTGGGGAAGACATGCTTACCAAAAAAAAAAGAATTTGGGGGAAGACACCAGAGACATTACCACATGGTAATAAGTTTAATTTTTATTTTAGATAAGAGACATTATTCCAAGTAATATTGTGTAAAGGGTTATGGGAAATGATGTTGTATACACATGACATGCACATGTTTACATAAAATCTTCATTTTGAATTTATTTTTTTAAAATATTTGGTAAAAAATAGTTTTTTAAATATTATTTAAGAAGTGCCCAATAAAATAGAATTCCTGATTTAGGGAACTTAATGGTCGCTGGTCATGGAATATGTGATTACTCTAATACCATAATAAAATATTTTGGAAGAATTTTATATATCTTTCATTACTCACTGGTATATATATATATATATATATATATATATATATATATAATAGGAGATATATTGTAACAACCACTTAGTGTTATTATCAATGTTACTACCAATCAATTTCACCGTTAGATCGATTATGTTGATCTAACGGTTATATTTATTTTCATCTTTGTATGGTAATGATTCTTCATATTTTATATTTTATATTTATTTTCACATTTGTATGGTTAGATTTTCCATATTTAATGCGAAATCATTAAATATGGAGAATCATAACCATACAAAGATGAAAATAAATATAACTATTAGATCAACTTAATCGATCTAATAGTGAAATTAATTGGTAGTAACATTGATAGTAACACTAATTGGTTATTAGAATATCCTACTCTATATAATAATGGATTCTCTCATCTCATTTAACCAAATCATGTGAGGTGATCTCTATCATCTAAAGACAAATTAACAGTGATAAAAGACGAAAAACAATAAGAAAAATATTAGGATAAATAGTGAGAAAAAAACGACCGTTCATATGTTTAAAGATGAATGAGATAATTTCAAATGATCGAGTTATGTTAAATGAAACATGAGAAAATCTATTTCCTAAATATATAATATATGTAACTATCACTTTCAAAATAAGCCAAAAAAATAATATCCACAAATCAATTACTCATTATATAAAGAGAGCATATTTTCGGTGCTCACGAAATAGGTATTCTTTTACCTATAATAATAAAAAATTGGGAGTAATGTAATATTAACCATAGAATTATTGTAAATGGTATTAGGGTGATTTTTTTTTTTGTTTTTAAGTAAGAAATGTAGAGTACACGTTACGCAGTACTGAAAATACTATCATATTAAGACGTGATTTGAATCCGTTATCCACGCCGCGCAACTTTAAGCCTATATAGATTTTAATGTTATTTTTAAAGAAAAAATGTTTGTACTTTTAAATGACACAATTTATATCCTTTCATTCTCACAAAAAGGTTAGACACACATCTTTATATTTTTTTGTCCACTCTCTCCTTTATCTATCTCTTTCTCTCACTTAAAATAAAATAAATTTACATCCTTTAGAATGATACATATTTTTTCCTATTTCTAATCCAATCTCCAATATGGCAATATCTCCTCTCTTGTTTGAGTGCCAGACTTTTTGTCAGTCAACAGCTCCACAGAACTTTATAATTACGGCCCCCAGTTTGGGGTTGGGGTCTTCCTGTGGGGAAGATAGTTTCATTCTCTCTAACCTTACATGTCCAAAACCACCATTCGTCTCTTGATCTTTACTTAAGCATTTCTCTCACTCACAAATTGTTTGAGCAATTATGGAGGGTGACATGATCAATCTGATCAGGGTGTACCTCTCAGCTGTCATATCTTTATGTTACTGTTATTGGATCCGTAAGTTTGTCCCTTCGGGAACAAGAAGACTTCTCTCTGTTCTTCCCATCATATGTTTCTATCTCTTCATTCCTCTCAACTTCTCCTCTGTACATTTGAGAGGCAACATAGGATTCTTCTTCGCATGGCTTGCAAATTTCAAGCTCTTGCTCTTTGCTTTCGATAAGGGCCCTTTGTCTGCTGATCCATCAATCTCTCTAGGACGTTTTATAGCTGTTGCGTGCCTTCCCATCAAGATCCAACAAAAACAACCTCCAAGTCAACCCCCCAGTTCTAAAACTGCACAAAACAACCCAAGATTGCTTCCTTCAAACCCCATCCAACCCCATCAAAATGGCAAAAACCCACCTCCAGATCCATCACAAGAGTCCAAAAGTTTCCATTTTGAAACCGACCCATCTTCAATAACGCCCAATACTAGTTGCCAAAGCAAACAAAACTCATCTCCCAACTACCCCAGCAAAGGTCATCATACCCCACTTTTACAGTATGCCATAAAGGGTCTTCTTTTGGCGGTTTTGGTGAAAATCTATGACTACAGTGACCATATTCACCCAATAGTCATCATGGGCATGTACTGTTTCCACATCTACTTTATGATGGAAATCATCTTAGCCATTCTTGCAGCACTGGCTCGAACCATGCTTGGGATGGAGCTGGAGCCACAGTTCAAGGATCCACTCCTCTCCACCTCACTCCAAGACTTCTGGGGCAGGAGGTGGAACCTCATGGTCACAAGCATCCTGCGACCGACAGTGTACGAGCCAACCCTGAAAGCCGCCGGTAATGTGGTTGGTCCCCAGTGGGCCCCACTGCCAGCAGTGTTGGGAACTTTTGTGGTGTCGGGATTGATGCATGAGCTGATACTGTACTACATGGGAAGGTTGGAACCCACGTTAAGGATGACCTGTTTCTTTGTCCTCCATGGACTTTGCTTGACGGCGGAGATTGCGTTGAAGAAGACCCTCACCGCCAGGTTCCGGTTGCCGAGGTTTGTGTCGGGGCCTTTAACCGCTGGATTTGTTTTGGCCACCTGCTTTTGGCTGTTCTTACCGGAGTTCATCCGGTGTCGGATTGATGTTAAGGCGTTTGAGGAGTACGCTGCTTTAGGCGCGTTGGTCAAAAATCTTACTTCCTCAGTCAGAGGGTTTTTTTAATTTATACACGACACGACCACCGTTTCCAGTTTCCTCTAGAAGAAAAAAAGAGTTAATTGTCTTTTTTGCCCTCCTTCCCCAATAAATTGACCAAACATTTTTTTGCTACTTTTGTACCAATTTGAATGACAAGAAGTATATCATACTCGGGCAAAATTTTATTTTTTATTGAATTAATCATATTTCATTACATGCTCAATGAATCTGTTTTTATATTTGGAACATAGATCAATATATTGGACTAATTGTAAAATCAATATATTTTACAAAGATCATACTTTCATTACAGGCAGATCTTTCATTACCCTCAAGCTATACAGAGACCTTCTACTACAAGAATCAATCAAATTCTTACGGCACAGTTACTGTTAAATATCTGGCCTGTGTTTTGCCACTTGAATGTACTATAATTATTTAATTAAAGCACGTATATCGTGGCAGTTGCAGTTGAATCACAATGGATCCAAATGCCAGTTAATTTCTAAGTGAGTGCAGTCAAGTGAGCCTTTCACTCTATTTAAAGCTGCTTGCCTGTGTTGCAGCAGTGGAAGTGATGGATCTTCATTTTGCTTGGAGAGCTTGTCATTTTGATTTTTGCGGGGAACTCTCCTTGAGAAAGCTTTCCATTTTGATTCAAATACACAAGCTACATTGGTGAAAAAAAACAAAACAAAATACATCAAATGCAAAGTTATGACAAACTAGCAACGCTGAAATACTTAACAGATCAAACATAAAAAGATGCGAGAATTATACATAGGAAAAACATCCTACTCAATTCAGTAAAAGTTAGGTGAGGTGGATTCTAATATTTTGCAAGGATGGCCTCAGGGTATTGCAAAAGATGTTAAAAAAAAAAAAAATGAGAGAGAGAGAAATTAGGACCAGTCACTACTGGGTAATATTCGTGCTGCTTCTATGACTCAATTGCACAGAAAAGACTTCCCAAACTACCAATCATTAGTTGATTAAAAGGGCTATGAAATAGCCAACCCTGTGGCAAAGATACTTACAATACTAAAAAGATCTAACGCTCTGGAGCACAAATCAGAGTACTACTATAAAAATGAGAAATAGAAATCAACAATAATTATCATCTTATTTTGTCAGCACTTAGCAACAACAGATTCCCACGGTTGGAAAAATATCCCCTTCACGAATAGAAAGAATTATTTATATTCATCAAACTCATCCCACTAAGCCACAAAGTCAAAATGAACAACATTTACCATTTGTAAGAACACAAAGTATAAAAGTTGATCAATTAGCTCCCTCTTTTCATTTTCTCGAAGTCCTACTACTGAATAGTGGCAAGGAACCAACTGAATTATATGTTCACAGCACCTAAAAGGCATTCAGGTCCTTATATCTTCCCAACAATATAGTTAAGGATAGAGTTAAGGTATGATTTAAATTACAATGCAACTATATCAAGCATCAGCAGCTGACTTGTAACTATAGCACCCAAATGGACAAACATCACAAGGAAAATATTCTCAATTTTTTTTTTCTCCAGATAAGTTGAGCTTTTAACAATGGGAAAACAATCATTCAGTACCTTAATGTAAATAAAAGAAAGTTTAAAAGTAGACATATATACCTTCACTTCGGTCTGTGAAACCACAAATGATGCATGCACAAATCCATGGCCTTCCAGCACGGGATGCTTTTGCACCGCCTTTAAGTTCACCGTTATGCTGCTTCAAACTACACTTATATTAAGATAAGTATAAATCAAACATCTGTTTCTTTAACTCCAAGGCAAGTTTTGCAGACATACCATTGTAAAATACAAGATAGAGCAAAATTAGCTACTTCTAAAGAACAAAAAAAAAAAAAAAAAGACAAAAAATTTCCGCACTAATCACTGATAATTTTAAGAGACAAAAAAAAAAAAAAAACACACACACACACACACACACACACACAAGCATGATCCGTTTCATTAAAGAAATGAAAAACAAAAAACGAAAAAAGCCAAAAAATTTCAACACCCAATCGAAGGGGTCGTAATCAGAGTACAAGTTAAATTGAATACACAAGTTAATGGAGAGTAACCATATAGCTCAGAACATCGTAAAATTAAAGTTACCGGCGAGGGAAATTGGTTGTGACCCCAACGTAGGTTTTGATTGGATGGTTAGTGGAGAGGATGAGATAAACGAACCATGACTCTGATTTTGGTTTGGGGTTGAATTTCACTTCTGATTTTGTTGGAACCGACGATTTGGATAATTTAGGGTTTGAATTTGGGCGTTTGATGGAACGAAATGACCGAGACAGCGTTCTCATCGTCTACCACTTTGCCGTTGAAAACAATTTTCACAAAAATAATTTCAGTTTAAAAATAATAATTTTCTGCAACTCAAGTTATTTGATTTTTTTTGTTATTTAGGAAATTGAAATTTTGACTAGAAAATATGACTAAAATGAGTAAAATTAAATATAGCTTGCTAAATTCACAATTAGGAAAGTATCTTCTATACTCCCCTTTATTAAATTTGGAAAAATTAATGTAACTAACTTTTACTATTATACTCTCCTTTATATATATATTTTTAGTAATAGAATAGGTACTCCAATAATATCAAATATATACTCTACGGTAAGTAAATATAAATTTTAACCTAACAGTTAAATGCTTCTAGTGAAAAAGGTTTTTTTTTTCTTTGAATTATTATGGATAACTTTTTGTACTTCTAAAAAACATTGCTCATTTCATCCTTTTTTAATATTTCCTTTTATGTCTTATATCCTTGGAAGTGAATTCTCTCATGAAAACGGTTGTAAAAAATTGCAAAAAAAAAAAGAGATCCTAAATATAATCTCCCATTTTTTCTTAAGAAAAAATATTTCTGATTTTACTGTAACTTTAATTTTTTTTTTCTGTTACACTCATAAAAATAAATGGGTTCTATTATAAAGAAAAAGAGAGAGCAAATATTAAACCCTTTTCTCTTATATGTGCTATATCCTCAAAGTTTTTGTGTTGTGACGCTAACAAGTTATAATAAGATGATTTTTTTATTTAGATTTTACACCATCTCCAATTTAAAGAAAGCCATGTTAAATAATCGAGTGTTTTAAGCGTCAATCTTAAAGAACAAACCCTTCCAGATAAGAGCGCTCTTACTATTTATATTTGTGTGCATATTTACTTTATTGTCTAATGGTTATACAACCACATATGTAAACTATTTTACAGGCTCAAAGATTTTTAATATGATATCGGACCCAATAAACTTGATGTTAGACTCTTAAAACATTGCTTTCAAGTTTTTAAAGATTTTTTATGTGCTCAAGGAAAGATAATTTGACATGCTATACAAGTGTGTAATGGTTGCTATACATACAATCACTGTGTACGGTTTGCTTAATACAAACTAAATCATAGAGGACAACATACATATTTTTTTTTTTTTTTCTGAGGACGTCATAGTTCATTGAGATTTGGGTGCCAAATTCCTGAACTTGGAGCGAGGGTTGATGTAAGACCTTATCCTGTCCCAAAGTGTGAATCTGGAGTCTAAAATTTTTACCATCACTGATTTTCTTGAACCTTCTCTCATAAATTCTAACTCCCTGGCATTAGTGTGTTTCATACTGTCTAGGTCATCAAGCAGTGGCAATGAGATAGAACCCTTAGACTCTAGGTTTCTGATCCACCCACGTAGTAAGAAATTTATGACCTGCCAACAATGATATTATTACTTTTATTAATTATTTTCACGAAAATCATATGGAACCAAAGACTGAGGAATCTATATATATATATACAATCAATTTAATAACAAGTTCTTTTGACATGTGTTTACAATCATACGATAAGTGTATATAAAGAACTTTCTTACTCTTGCCTACTATCTAAGATAAATCAGTTCCCAATAAAATGGAAATTGAAAAGCACATTCCCCTATCAAACTTTCAAAATTGAAACTATAGAGCTTCAGTACTAGAGGCTAATTTTGCAGAATGTAAAAAAGGAAAATATTTGAAGTGCTCTTGTCCAACCCACCACTCGGTACATTCATCTAATACAAGACACCAGCAGTGACATGACTGAGGAGAGAGAAAAAAGGATACATTCACTAGTGACTTATTTATTAAATACAAGTATCTCAATTTGAAGGGCACTAGTACCCATTACTAGGTGCTCCCGAAGCACTAAAAATGCTCTCGTAAAGAAGAGGCAACAAAAAAGAACACTTTCAAGCTAATTAGTGAGAAATAAAAAAGAACACTTTCAAGCTAATTAGTGAGAAATTGCATACCTCAGGGACTTCATGATGAGGGCAGTGACCAGCAGGGCTAATCTGATAATATGGAGCTTCAGGAACCTGTCTTTTGACCTGGAGTCCCCAAACTGGCTTCACCCAGGGATCTTCTTTTCCGTACATGAGGCAGATTGGCACATTGTTTGTCCGGCATCTAAAATGCAAAAACTCTGAAAATCCTTAACTTGGAACCATAAATATAGATGGTATTCACACAAATCTAATACTAGATAGAAATGTAGTGATTTCTACCTAGATAACGATTCACTGAAAGATAATTCTGCCTGAGGAGCAAACATAATCGAAGCAAATGATGCTGCAGCTGCAGGATGCCTTGTGGTTTCAATTATGTTTGAAAACACACTATCTACATTTGTTGAACGATCTGCATAAACCTGATTAAGTATCTCAGCAATACTTGTAGGATCACTAATTTTCTCCCACCTAAAGAGGAAAAAAAAACATTATTTAACCTGAATGCAGTCTAATATTGATAGAAGCTGCAAAAGTCACTTTCTCAAAAAATGCATTAACAACGCATTTTCATAAATTTCCAACATCGCAATTCTTGTTGTAAAAAAAGTTCTGAAGTTTTGTCTTCCCAAATAGAACACTTGGCCAATTATGCAGAGTTTCTTATAGTAATATTACTCAAATATGAAAAGGATATCTGGGTTACATAAATGAAACGTGGCATAGCAGTTCATAACTAGAATATTGAAACATGTCTGCCAAAAACACATACATGAAGCAATGAATATTAAAGTAATACTTACACCAACTCTGTAAGCCTCCTTACATTAGAAGGTAGGGGAAATGTTCCTGCCCATGGAAATATTTTTGCTAGGCCTGGATTCTTTACAGGATTAGGAAGAAATCCCCAAAAAGGTGTTGCATTAAGCAATGTGACACCTTTCACTAAATGAGGGTTACGTGCCGCAAAATACAATGCAACATATCCTCCTAGAGAGTTGCCCACAACATAGACTGGTTCCCTGATGACCTGCAGAAAACCAATTTGTGTCATCACTTTAATCAAGGAGTCAATAGCCCACAAACAAGGTAACTCCTGAGTAAAAAACTACACAAAAGCATGCTAAGGAACAACAAAACATGGTATGTCAGATTAAAATATGAATCATATATCTTTTTCTAAAGTGGTAAAAGAACTCTAAAACTGAAGAGAAATCAACAAATGGAGACAAAAAAAGCAAAGTAAACTGACATGAAAAAACTAGCTGGCTGCTATCAAATAGCATTTCACTTACCTCTTCTATGAAGTATCGAACTTGATCTTGCCATAAATCAATAGAGTATGCAAGCTTTGTTGCCCACGGTTCCGTCTCATCTCCAAAACCCCACAAAGAAGTATTTCCATTCGATATAAACCCTTCCTTATAGTGAGGAGCTGGATCTTCAAAAGGCAAGGACATTCCTTGGCCTAGAAAATCCAGTGCCCATACTCTAGTGTCACGGCCCAAATCTTTCAGTTGCTTCTCATAATGGAAAGAGCCAACACCAAAACCAGGAAGAAAGAGAACATGCGGAGAATCTGCATTTTCACACCCAGCCCTCACATAGTGTACGTTAAGTTTAGGCTTCCATTCCCAAAAGCAACTACTTATATGTGCACCAGATTCACCATTTGACTCATCTGGCAGACCTGGAATGAGAACATTAGTTGCAGGCTCCTCTATCCCTGAAATATCTGTTACATCCTCTTCACCACCAATCACATAACCATCAGAACTTCCACTATGGACCTTAGAATTGATTCTCTTGGAGCCTTCAAGAGCATGATTTCCAACATCACAACATCTCACAGACCCAAATCTAGAAATGGTACTGGTACAATAAACCCCATGGTTTCCAACAATAGGAAACTTTGATTGACGCCAATTCAAGCTTTTGTCAACCAATTTCCACTTAGAGTCCACTACTTGACAGCAAGGTGCAGAACCATATGAGAGAATTTCCATACCCAAAAACTGAATTCTGCATTAGCTAGCCCCACCAAATGATTCAGTACAAATTCAACTATACTTTCTTTGTGATAATCGAAAAAAGAAAAAGGAGAAAAGAAAAAAAGTGAATTTGATAGTTTAAAAGTCGAAATTGAATTGTTTCTTCTCCCAAACAAAACAAGTAATGATTTCAATTGGTTTTACAGGTTCTTTCAGAAATTTAACATATTTTGTGGCAGGGAAACAGAACTAAACAGAAAAGCAGTTCTAAATTCGAAACACATCATTTATAGCTCTCTCTTTTTTCATGCATATTTAATTCCAATGAAAAAGACCATGTCTTCAAGTTTAATAAAAAATAGTCACTACCAGAAATTTTGTATACTAATTTCTTAGAACCTTCCTTACCTTTAACAAAATGAAGGAAGTGGCATGAGAATCTACTGAGAAACAGACATGCTCCTTGTTGCACGGAAGGCTCTTCTTCCTTTATAAGCCAAGAAAAATCGTCTTCTTTTATTTTATTTTTTTCTGAGTATTTCAGCGTCATCTCGAGAAGAAGGGAAAATGGGTAAAAATTACACGAAAATGTGAAAGACGAACGGAACAGAACAGAACAGACAAAACACGTGTAGAACAGAAATGGAAACATACACACGACCGCAACCACGAAGGATGCAGAGCTACCCCACTTTGTAACATTATTAACACATGTCAACATTTTTAATATAAAATATGGGATGTTATTTTTTATTTTATTTTTTTACTTATCATGTCTTACAACTAATATTATTATCCTTGATTTAAAATTAAATTAATGTCTCCCATTCAATATTATTTTATAAACTTTTATTTGATTTTGATCAAACAATTATAAGATGTGATAAATATATTGTTAACCTTGAATTAAAATTAAATTAATATCTCTCACTTGATATTATTTTACAATTTTTGGTTTAATTTGATCCAATAATTATAGGGTTCATTTAATCTTATGTTGAAGGAGAGATTTTCTCTCATGTTGACACATAGTGGCGGGGCCCGCCATTTAAAGAAAAAAGAAAAAAAAGAAAAATGAATGTCACGATTTTCAATAAGTGTGTAGGAGATAAAACTACTCTTATGCAACATAAGAGTAGTTTTTCCCATAATTATAAGACGTGCTACAAAAAAAAAGTATAACCTCTCTCGTACACACTCTTTTGTGTTTTATTTAAAAGCCCGACGCAATGTTAGTTCCAAACAAGGCAGAGTGTTGCCAAACATGTGTTTCAAACCAAATATTTTTCTATGCATTTCAATAAGTTTTTTTAAAAAAATATTTTTATGATATATATATATATATATATATATATATATTTTAAAAGATACTCTTTTATTTTGAGAAAAGTGTTAACAATTTTTTTAGATTTTTTATTTTATTCCGAAAGTTATATAATTGTTACAATTTTTTTAAATGTTTCTTAACTAAAAAATTTTCTTTAAGAAATACAAATAAACACCTGCTTTATATATTTCATTTTTGTCAGTATAATTGTTGTTCCGACATCAATTTTGCAGCTATTTAATAATTTGTTGGAATAATATATATATATATATATATATGAAAAAATATTTCTCAAGTTGTTTGAGACAATGTTATCTCTGGCCTCCCCAAAACTACGTCGTTTTATTTATTTATTTTCTTATATTAATTGATTCACATTTGAATGGTTATGATTCCCTTTCTCTCTCTCTTCCTTTATCACTATTGATCCATCTTTGTACGGTTATGATTTAGTAGCCGGAGATAATATTGTCTCAAACAGCTTGAGAAATGATAAACTCATATATATATATATATATATATATATACGAAAAAATGTTTGTTATTTTAAATGATATAAAGTTATGTCATTTTAAGGAAAATATTTTTTATGCTCCAGGACCACCCAATGATTTGGTGCTCCCTCTCACAATATTAATTTTTTCTTTCCCTTTTTACCCCTATTATTTTTTCTTTTTCCAATTTTTCCCTCCATTTATACTAAGGGACCACCTAAAAAATGGTGTTCCCGAACCATAATAAATTCTCTCCATTTTAAGAGAGAGATAGACATAAGAAATTATTTTTTTATTAAAAATTTAAATTAAAAAAAGAATCACTCATTTTCTCTCCCATTATTTTCATTTCTTGTGTCTATCTCTCTCTCCTAAAATGACATAACTTATGTCATTTAAAATGAAAAATATCAAACCCATATATATATATATATATATATATATATATATATATGGTTTGTTTTTTCTAAAGTTACTTTAGATAACTTTATCTAATGTTCATTGAAACGATGTCGTTTTGGAACGAAAATCATGGTGTTTTTGTAATTTTAATTTATTTCAGGGTTATAATATTCTTTATCATTCTAATTTTTTAATTTTTCAACCCCAAAACGACGTCATTTTAATGAACATTAGACAAAGTTGTCTAAAGTAATATCAGAAACTTTTTTTCCACATATATATATATATATATATATATATATATATATGAAGAATGTTATACTTACAACTTATTTTCGTTTACAACCTCTTAGAACCATATCTTAACCGTTGATTTCCGCCAATCAACGGTTATCATTTATTGTGAATTAATAATTAATTAATGAGTTTAATTTGAAAAAATAATAACCGTTGATTGGTGGAAATCTATGGTGTTAAGATATGGTTGTAAGAGGTTGTAAACAAAAATAGGTTGTAAGTATAACCTTCCTCTATATATATATATATATATATATATAGAGGTAGGATCCTTTGACACCGGTGTCAAATTTCAATTTTGACACCTCATCTGAGAGCCGTTAGATCAAAAAAGATCAACGACTCTGATTTGCAAGCATGTGACACCATTGATATTTTTTGATCTAACGGCTCTCAGATGAGGTGTCAAAATTGAAATTTGACACCGGTGTCAAAGGATCCTACCTCATATATATATATGGAAAATGTTATATTTACAAACTTTTTGTTTACAAATTACACTATGTTTGACTGGTCATACTTCAATCAAAAGTGTATGATCGATCATATTTAATGTAATTTGTAAAAAAAAAATTGTAAATAGATCATTTCTCTATATATATAGCTGATTGTGTAATTAATTTTTATTTTTGATATATTGACCCTAATTATTTATTTGGGGTGAGTTGATTACCACATTTCTTTAAGTTTTAACTATTTGAACGGGCTATTAGATTGATTTCATGTGGGGAGACTAGTAAAGCTAAAACTCTTTGTCTATATCTAATTTGGTAGAAATCAAAGTCAAATTTTCTCCTCACTTGGTCTGTCATCGCGCTGTAATTCAACTTTGTAAATCATGCATGGTTAACCAAAAATATGTTATATATTCTGTTCAGTTGAGTGTAATACATACTTGCGTTTGGAGAGTTGTCAAGAAAAGAGAAAAATAAATAATGTTTTTACGAGAGTATCCTACAAATATGTTTGGTGAGAGGTAAGGCCGGGAAAAATGAGCTCGGCAGGGTGGGATATACTGTTCATTTTGCCCCCTTTAGTGAAAGGTTAACTTTTAAGACACTATGACAATTTATATTACAGCGACATCGATATAGGACACGGGTCATAACACGATATAGGACACGGGTTATAACACGATATCATATTCTGACTCGTTAATTCTAAAAAATATTAAATTTTGACATATTAAGACACACTTTGATATTAAATAATATTTTAAATTTATATAGAGTATATTATATTTAATATTCAATAATTTAACAAAAAAATGAAACTAAACTTATAATACTTATCAATTTTGCAAAGAAACATAAGATATCCCAAATATTTATATTAAATTCAATAAAATAGTAATCTTAATCCAACGAATCTAATAGTTAGAACTAACAACGCAACACAACTTTCGAACCTCTTTTTTGAGTCTCTGCAATGCGTGTTGAAGTGTCGAATAGTGTCAGGCATTACACGTCAAATTTTTTGAAGTGTGATGCATCATAGATATCAATTACAATTAGAAGGCTTTTAAGGAAAAAATATTTGTCCTTTTAATTAAATTAGTAATTTTTTATTTAAAATTTAAATTAAAAATATCTATTTTCTCTTCCTATTATTTTCATTTTGTATTTCTTTCTCTCACTTAAAAGATATATATATATATATATATATAAAGAAAAAGATATAATTCTACGTACTTAAAAATAACAAACACAAAATATTTTTTTTAATATTTTAACTTTTGTCCTTTTAAAAAGTGTGGTCCTTGTTAAGCATGAAATCCAACTCTTATTGTCAATAAGTATCTTTATCAATACGTTATTCAAAAAGATAACTTAACGTAAAGGGTTTCTCTTCTGTTTGCGTACCCAGATTACAGGCTCGTAGTTGTTGCTTTCTGATGTTTTTTTATATATTTTAACTTCAAACTGTCAAGACAATGGCCTGTGATGCTGAAGGATACGAATCCACGAAACTGGTCAATGCTGCAAGTTTTTTTCGGTTCTATAGACGAAATTTGAACAAAATCAATTTTGAAAACCTATATTTTGATTTTATTTTATTTTATTTTTTTTTTGAAATCGGGAAGAATATATTTATCATATTTCAAATACTAAACACCTTAGAAGATATATTTTTTTATAAAAAAAATAGTACTTTCTTTTTGGTAAACAAAAAATAGTACTTACTTCTACTACTCAAAGGGTGTTAGAAATTTTTTTATTAAAATAAAACAAAATAAAATAAAATAAAATGTAGGGGGTAAGTAAAAGCCCCACCAAGAAATCAATTCAAAAGAACACGGCGAGTTTTACACAAGGAAATAAAGTCATCAAAAAAACATAAATTTAATTCCTAAAGGAGGCTCATACAACAAACAAAATTCTTCATTCTTTGTATCCAAAATAAAAAATAAAAAATCTTCATTCTTAGTATCTTTCACTAAAAAAGTTTGCCAAATCAGTCTACACAAGAATTTGCTTCAATGTACGTGTGAATGAATAATACATGTCAGTTCCTACATATCCATGCCTGTATTCTAATTGCAGGAACCAACCTTGGTGAGCATATTAATTACATTAACTTGAATCACTTCTTAGAACAACCTTCCTCTAGCCTTTGTTCCTCTTTTTCTTTTTTTTTGATAAACCATAGGTGTTTTTTTACGGGAAGTAATTATGTTCGAGGCAGAAACATTCACATTATAGTGGAATTAACTCTTTTAAAGAGAATTTTTTATTTCACAAAAACTTCAATCTAAGATTTTACCTAAGCGGAATTAAGTATATATTACTTGAACCAGCACTTTGATATCCCTCTAGCCTTCGTTCCAACTAACCTCCAATGTAATGAGCATTTGCATAAGTGGAATGGATATTTTGTGCACTCAATTTGATTTCCTGCATGGAGTAGTTAAGTTACATTGTATGTTTTTACATTCTCATGAATTTGATTGTTGCTCCACAACGAAATCTGTGAGATCATTCGGTGAGATCATACGTGAAAAATGCTGACAAATTGATATCCAAAAGTAGAAGAGACCAAATCCTATATGCTGGAGCTATGATGCACGGACACGGACACGGCACACGACACAACACGCCGACACGTTAATTCTAAAAAATTTCATATTTCGACACGTTGGGACACATTTTGATATTAAATAAAATTTTTAATATATATAATATAATTTATATTTAATACATATAAGAATCCATAATAAGTCATATAACCAATCAAATATTTAAATTTCATAACATAAATATAAATATAAATAATTTTTCGTACTTGGTTAATTTTTCATGTCAAATTTCATAATAGAAAAAAAATTAATTTATAAATTATTTCTTTTATATTTAGTTAACAAAATAAAATTAAGATTTAAAAAAAAAGCGTGTCCGAGCGTTGACCGCATGTTGAAAAAAGTTGACTGCGTGTCGGAAAAACGTGTCGGAACGTGTCCAAAAATTGACCGCGTGTCCCCAAATGTTGACCGCGAGTCGGACCTGTGTTCGAACGTGTCCGTGCTTTCCAGTGCTGGAGGGCAGTCTCTAAGCATGTGGATGATTGTCTTGTTGACTCGGTGGCATATAGAACAAGTAGCTAGGTCCCCAAGTTCAGGTGAGCTAGATATTCCCTCGTTGGTAGGGGTGGCAATTTGGGTTGACCCGTCCCGACCTGCCACCAACACGCCAAAAACGGGGCGGGATAGGTTGACCTGCCAAAAAATATGGGTTGAAAAAATGAACTCATCCAGTTTTATGGTGGGTTGGCAGGTCAACCCGCCAATTAGAAAAAAAATTAAAACTTAAAAAAAATTATATTTTATGAATTTTTCTAATATTATTTTATTTTATTTCACATTTCTTTATATTTTTTTGATCTCAATCTTAAATGTATACTAATATTTGTCAAACATTCTTTAGGAATTTATATGGGTTTTATTAATGTTATGTTACATAACATAAGTTTAGTTTTCAACACACACAATAAAGGAGAGAGAGAAAGTGGAATGATGAAAGAGAAAAAAAAACATGTGGACCCCACCTCTTTAATGTGTGTGTAGAAAAGTGAAGTTATGTTATGTAACATAATAAACATAAAACCCAATTTATATATAGATAACATTTGTCATAAATAAAATTGTTATTTTTTATTTTTTCTAGGAAGTACTAAGATAAAAAAAAATTTGGATATCACAAAAATTTAAAGACTAATGAAATACTACCTAATTGTAAAAAAAAAAAAAATTTATAACCCGGCAGGTCAACCCGCCCCGCGGCGGGTTGAACCCGTTTTGACCCACTTCTAGGGGCGGCGGGTTGAGGTGGGTTGGAGGGTTGAAAACCTCAACCCAACCCGCCCCGTTTTGGCGGGTTGACCCACCGTACTCAACCCATATTGCCACCTCTACTCATTGGCATTCGGTGGTGAAACATCTTCAATAAAAATAGCTTTTAACCTTTCGAGGGCTTTTCCACTTTCAAATTTTGCTCCGAGGATTGGTAGTGTTCGGTGAGTGTAAATCATGTCTGGCTATTGTCTAATAGTATCAATTATTTTTCTATTCAATTTAATCCACTTTGTGTTAGGTTAAGGAGCTTGGTTCGAAATAACTCTTATTTGCAGAAGCGAAGTAAATTTGTCTCAAGATGGAAAAATAAAGAAGTATAAGAAAAACACACAAAGAACACAAAATAATTTTAACATGGAAAATTCTGCTCAATGTGAGGAGTAACGATCACGTTACTGATTGGTCCAAGAAAGTTTCTATTATAAAAGTAGTATTACAAATATTATCTTTCTAGTGCAAGACTAGAGGTTTACATACAAATAATTCACTCACTAATGATGGTTTATAACAATTTTATCTCTCACTTGGAGGATTTATCTCTAACCTATGTGGTGGAACTCTATTTCTCTCTTCTAGGGAGGAACTCTCTCAAATTCTTGCTTGATTGATTCAAGGCTTCCCTTCAAACTCTATTTATAAATGAACTTTGAAACAATTTTTCAAAGCCTAGTTGAGTTAGGGACAAACTAGGTGTAGGACTTTTGACCAAAGTTGTTTTGAGCCATGTGTACACCTAGAGCCATGTGCACCTTGAGCATTGTGTAGTCTACCTTTAATTAAGGTGAAAAATCCTCTAACACTTTGTATATGACATGTGTGGTAGTCACTTAACATTACCATCGATGAGTTTATGTAAGTCTTTGCAGAATAAATAATTCTCTATCGTCGGCTTCCCAATCAATCAATTTGATCCATTAAGTTTAAATATGATATTCAAGCTACCTTTTATGTCAATTTACACTACAAACATCCACAACTACTAACAAAGACTCTTGATATCAATTTTTTTTTTGGGGGGGGGGGGAATAGATCAAGTGCAAATTTAAATAAATAATTTAAAATAATATGAAAAACAACAACAATATAATTGGCGCACAAGACATTAAAAGTGGGGGGAAAACCATGATATTTTAATTGGAGCCTACACAACTCTTCTACTATCACCAAATAATAATAATGAGCACACATTCACAATGTTCTCTCTTCATGTATCAATATTAAGATCAAATAATAAAAGATGGAAATTAAGAGAAAAGTAATGAAGTAGTCCCTTATAAACTTAAAAGGAGAAAAACATATCTATTACTCTAAAGATTCCAAAATCACAAATTGATAGTTGGATGTGAAATATTAAATATCATGAATACTCTCATAAAATTTGACTTTATTTTGACAAAATCTTAATGTTGGTTTGAAAAAAGTAAAAAAATTATGGAGAGAGATGTTCCTCTTGTAAAAAAAGTAGCAGCTAGAGAAAGCATGATGCAAAATCTGGATAAGGATGTTGAAATTGCATTCAACAATCCTAACAGTAATCGATTGTGTAGAAGAAATCATCAACATAGTGTGGCAATTCCCAGATGGGGGTCAATTGATCACACGTATACGGACATGTTTACAAAAATATTAGAGAATCAAGATTCGACATACCTATAGAGAGGATAATACATATGCCGATTAGATGACAAACTACATTTTAGATTTTAGGGAGGATTCTAATTGTGTCATTAGTACTCATCTTCCTCTTGGGATTCATTTATTGTATGTAGCTGATATGTCCTCGCTTGAAAGGGATAGACCTCTGGTAGTTCGTTAGTGTTTTTGTTTTTGTTTTTCTTTTGCTTGAGCTAGGCCCCTTTTATGTAAAAAAAAAAAAAAAATTAGTTGTCACGAAATGAAGGGTCCGGGACCCAACGCTGTGTGCATTCCCAAACCTTTTGCATCTAGTTGTCATCCAAAGAAACTCAAAGTTGTATATAAAAAAAAAAAACTCAAAGTTGAAATACAAATTTTGACTTGAATTCATGATAAAAGTAATGAAATAAAAGTTCTTCCTTTGACAATTGCACATACTATACATCTAGTTTTTCATGAAAGAAAAAACGTTTAATTCTTCTTAACAGTTTTGTCTATTAAATTAAGGGTTTATCATCTATCATTTAACATAATCACAAAATTTTTTCTATATACACAATATTTTGTGGGGCATGCACAAAAAAAAAAAAAAAAATTCGGCACGGAAAACGAATTTCTATAACATAACATAATCACTTTTACTACAACATAACTCTTATAAAACCCTTAAATTAAAGGTTTGATATTTATAGATGAAATTATCTTCCATAAATATATATAAATATATAGAATTCATATGAGCCTATCTGAAGAAAAGGAAGAGAAAAAGAAAAAATGGATTACGTATAAGAGGTAATTTTATCTCTTATAATATTAGAAACGTTAAATCCTTAAATTAAATGATTGGTTAATTATATTTATTAATTAATTAATAAAATGATTTGATGTTTATCATTTTAAATGACATAAATTATATCATTTTAGAAAAGAGATAGATACAGAAAAATGAAAATCATCAGAGAGAGAAAATGAATAGTTTTTTTTAATTTAAAATTTAAATAAAAAAATTCCGTGTCTGTCTCTTTCCTAAAATGACATAACTTTTTATTATTTAAAATTGACAAACACTTCTCCTGTAATAAAATATAAAAAAACAAATTAGTTAAAACAAATATGGCATAATGCGTTGCGGAGTCACACAAACAAAACAGATGTGACCCTTGGAACTGGAATACAAATAATTCAACTACAGTGCCTTTTACTTGAAGACTAGTTAGTAGAAACATAAAATCTGATATAATAAAAGAAAAAGACAAATATAAATATATTCCCTTTGAAAACACATATATAGTAAAACAATTAATTATTTTTAATCACACACTCACACACACACATGAAATAATTACTTAATTTAAATAAACAAAACAACTACCGGTGGTGTCCGGTTCGGTCCAATAAAACATCATCTTTCTCCTCGAATCTTAATCCTATCAACATCATCATTCACCGCAAATCCTCTTCCGGTTTATCAACGACCCGAACCCGAACCCGAATCCGAAGGGATGGTAATGGGTTTCACGGAATCATCACTGCTTCTCTCTTCGGGTACGAAGGAGGTACCGGAAGATAAGTGGCAATTGGCGTACATAATCTACTTCACCCTTGGCCTCGGTTACCTTCTTCCCTGGAATGCTTTCATCACAGCCGTTGATTACTTCTCTTACCTTTACCCTGATGCCAGCGTGGACCGCATCTTCGCCGTCGTTTACATGGTCGTCGGTCTCGTTGGCCTCTTCATCATCATCCTCTATAGCCACAAATCCGATGCCTATGTTCGGATCAACATTGGTTTGGCCTTGTTTGTCGTGTCCCTCCTCGTTGTTCCGCTCCTCGATGCCCTTTACATTAAGGGTCGGGTCGGGTTGTATGACGGGTTCTACGTCACCGCCGGGGCGGTTGGGCTTGCCGGTGTGGCTGATGCTTTGGTGCAGGGATCAATTGTTGGCTCCGCCGGTGAGTTGCCGGAGAGGTACATGCAAGCTGTCATCGCCGGCACTGCTGCTTCTGGTTTGTTACTATTTTTGGTTCATTTAATTTTTATTTATTTATTTATTTTTCATTTTGGGGTTTCGCAATTTTGCATAAAGATTGAGACTTTGCATGATGTTGTTGTGGGTAGCAGGTACAATAGTTTGATAGATGCATTGTTTGCTTTTTGTGGGATATGATATGGTATGAGAATCTTTGGGTTCTTTTTGTGTTAGAGGGTTGCCTAGGTGTGTGATGTTTAGTACTTTTACTAGGCAGAGTTCATTTTCATATGAAATTTTTATTTTTTTTTAATGGTTATAGTTTGTTGTCCCCATATCTGAAGCACATTAGTAAAATGATTTTTTAGGTTCATATGCAAAATAATTTGTAAGGAATCATTGATATTCACAAAAGCTGTTTTGACTAGTGAACTCTGGGAGGGTAAATGTTTTTATCTTTTCATTATGGATGTTTTGACTTCAGGGGTACTTGTTTCTGTCCTGAGGATATTCACAAAAGCTGTTTACTCACAAGATGCCTCTGGCCTGCGGAAGAGTGCAAATCTCTACTTTGCTGTGTCAATTGTAATTGTGTTCATATGCATGGTTTTGTACAATATAGTGCACAGGCTTCCTATTATGAAGTACTATAATGAACTTAAGGTTCAGGCTGTCACTGCGGATGAAGACAATGGTCCCATGACTGGATCTGTCTGGAGGTCAACTGTATGGGATATTGTGGGGAGAATCAAGTGGTATGGGTTTGGCATTGTGCTCATTTATGTCGTGACTCTGGCAATATTTCCCGGTTACATTACAGAGGATGTGCACTCTCAACTTCTTAAGGATTGGTATCCAATACTACTTATCACTGGCTATAATGTGTTTGATCTTGTTGGTAAGTCTCTGACCGCAGTGTATCTCCTAGAGAATGCGAAAATTGCTGTAGGTAGTTGCATAGCAAGATTGTTGTTTTTCCCTCTCTTCTTAGGGTGCTTGCACGGTCCCAAATTCTTCCGGACAGAGATTCCCGTGACAATACTGACTTGCCTGTTAGGGCTTACTAATGGTTACCTAACCAGTGTATTGATGATTTTGGCTCCTAAAATTGTAAAGTTTCAGCATGCAGAGACTGCAGCTATTGTGAGTGTATTATTCTTAGTTTTTGGTCTGGCTTCTGGGTCTATTATAGCTTGGTTTTGGGTCGTCTGACCAAGCAATTTGTATTTATTTAGGGACTCCAAAACTCAGATGTATTATGCTTCCACTCAAGCAAAACTGGGATGATTTCCTTAGTTTATTTCTTTCAACAAGTGAAAATTTGTAAGCTTATCTTTGTCAATTCTAATGAAGCTATTGCCGTAAGGAATATTTTGTTCTTCCTTAACCATAGGATATATAACTGTTACAAGCACGTTGTTGAAAAACTGTTATGATCTGGAGAGTCTACCTTTAGTATTTCATTTCTTTAGTACTATTTTTGCTAGTTTTGTGCGAATTTAATATAACTAGAGAATAGTTGTGACTTGGGAGATGTCAAACAACAACAAAAGGAGTAAATGCCCATGAACTGATCCCTAATGGTGGGGTTCCCCTCAATCAAACGTGGAGGTTCGGATAATCTGATCCCTCTCCCCTCCAAAGCGGAAATTGTAACATGTGAATGGATGCACTAATATATCCCAACCATTGTTTTCGGCCTAGAATATATAAATTTTAGGCCCACCAACCGAACATCAATTGTGAGATCTTTTGCTACTCTCAGCTGGCAAAGCTTACCTGCTACTTATCACACAATTAAATAACAATATTACTAAATTACAGGAATTCTCTATGAAAGACAATCTTGTTCGAGACAGGTTCAGGATTAATGATTTAAACTCCTTTCGAAAATAATATTGGAGAAGATGAAATATATGCTCTCACTCTCCTGCTCAGCTTTCATGCGCCAACTGAGTTACTATCGTTTAATAAAATATTACATTTTAGTTTGACGATCAGTATTTCAGGACACTACGCCTTTTATCGTTGAAAATTCAAACATTAACTCCTAAACAAATCACGTGGGTCCAGACCACCTTTACCTGTTTCCTTCATTGCAACTGACTAAGAAATATCCCAAGTCAACGACTCTAAAGTCTAAACACTTGAAGCCTTTATGCTTTTCCTTTATGTCTCAACAAAGCTAGAACACCAGACATCAATCATTACATTTCCTTCACTTGTTCACGTTGTTATATACATGATCACATTCACAGCATCATGGTTGTTGATATGCTAGGTTCATTCGTCTCTGCCTTCCTGCAAGTTCTGTTGGATAGGATAGCTGGTCATGAGCTTATAGACTTCTTCCGGGGCAACCATCTTGATGAGGCACTTCTTGTGAAGTTGAAGATGCTTTTGCTATCCGTCACTACAGTGATTAGTGACGCTGAGGAGAAACAGTTTATTGATCCCTTGGTGAAAGAGTGGGTTGATAGGCTTAAAAATGCTGCCTACGATGCTGATGATGTCTTGGATGAGATTGCCACTAAAGCCATGCAAGACAAGATGGATTCTGGTTTTCACACCACCTTAGATCAGGTAAGAGATTATGCTTCTTCTCTCAATCCCTTTGCTGAACGAGTTAAATCAAAAGTTGATAGGATTGTTGAGAGGTTGAAATCTATAATAGAGCATAAAGATCTTCTTGGTCTTAAGGAAAATGGTGTTGATAAATCACTCCATTTAGCTTCAGCCACAACTTCTTTGGTGGATGAACATCGAGTGTATGGCAGAAGTGGTGATAGGGAGAAGATAATTGATTTTCTGTTATCAGGCAACTCAAATGAAGAAGGGGTTCCTGTGGTTGCAATTGTTGGGATGGGAGGGGTAGGTAAGACTACTCTTGCTCAGCTTTTGTACAATGATGTGAGGGTGAGGAACCATTTTCAATCAAGATCATGGACCTCCGTTTCAGAGACATTGAACGTGTATGAAATAACCAAAAAAGTTTTTGAGTCATTTACTTTGTGGTATTCTAATATCTCAGACTTGAATGTACTCCAAATCAAGCTCAAGGATAGATTTACAAGACAGAGGTTTCTACTTGTTTTGGATGGATTTCAGAATGAGAACTTTCTTGACTGGGACATCCTCCAAAGGCCCTTTCTATCAGGAACCAGCGGAAGTAGAATTGTTGTCACCACACGTAGTCAAAGTGTTGCAACGGCAATTCGTGTTGATTTAACTCATTCCCTCTCGCTTCTGTCTCATGAAGATACATGGAAGTTATTCTCAAGTCATGCATTCAAATCAGGAAACCCGGATGAACATCCTGTCTTGACACAAATTGGCAAGAAAATAGTAAAGAAGTGCAATGGTCTCCCTCTAGCTGCAAAAACACTAGGGAGTCTCCTACGTTCTAAAGAGGATGCTGAGGAATGGGAAAGTATATCTAATAGTAGGATATGGGATTTACCAAGTGATAAGAGTAGCATTCTTCCTGCTTTAAGATTGAGCTACACTCATCTACCTTCTCATTTAAAGCGATGCTTTACTTATTGTTCCATATTTCCTAAAGGCTATGGAATAAAAAAGTGGAACTTGATCCATTTATGGATGGCTGAAGGTATCTTGCCACAACCAAAGACTGGGAAGCGAATGGAAGATGTAGGAGATGAATGCTTTCAAGAGTTGCTATCTAGGTCATTCTTTCATCAGTCATCTCACCACATATCGTGTTTTATGATGCATGACCTTATCAATGATCTAGCACAGTGTGTTGCAGGTGAATTCTGTTACAAGCTAGATGATGATAATCCAAGCAAAATCACTGTGAGTGTTCGTCATTTATCATATTTACAAGGCATATATGATCATGACCCTGAAAAATTTGAGGCCCTCGCTGAACTTAGGACCTTCCTACCATTTAGATTCTCAGACTTTGGTTACTCCTCTTCAATTACTAGTATGGTTTCAATTCTATTACCAAAACTGAAACGCCTGCGTGTGCTCTCTTTGTCTCATTATCCAATTACCAAGTTGCATGATTCTGTTGGAAACTTAATGCATCTGCGGTACTTGGATCTTTCTTACACTGCAATTGAGCATCTACCTGATTCTGTAAGCACTTTGTATAACTTGGAGACACTCTTGTTGTTAGGTTGTCGTCGACTCACCATGTTACCAGCAAACATGTCCAACCTTGTCAACTTGCGCCATCTTGATATTAGTGGAAGCAGGGTGACTGAGATGCCAGCAAAATTTGGTAGACTAAAATCTCTCCAAGTTTTGACTAGTTTTGTTGTTAGCAGTGACGGGGGATCAAAAGTTAGTGAGTTGGGGGAGCTTTCTGAACTTCATGGAACACTTTTGATTGTGAACCTGCAGAATGTAGTTGATGAAAGAGAAGCCTTGAATGCAAGGTTGAGGAGAAAGAAACATCTTCAAGAGCTAGAATTCAAGTGGACGACTACAACTCATGATGTACAGAGTGAAACTAATGTACTCGAAATGCTAGAGCCACATCAAAATGTGAAAAGGCTCAAAATTCAGAATTTTGGTGGTAATAAGTTGCCAAATTGGTTGGGGAGTTCTTCATTCTCTAGTATGGTGTTTCTATATCTTTCAGAGTGCGGAAGTTGCTTGTCATTGCCATCCCTTGGACAATTGCCCTCCCTCAGAGAACTCTATATAGCAAAGATGACAAGCCTACAGAAGGTGGGTCCTGAATTCTATGGGAATGCAGTTGAGCCATTCAGATCATTGAAGATCATGAAGTTTGAGGACATGCCCAACTGGAAAAAGTGGTCAACCATTGAACTTGAACAAAGTGGGGGGTTCCCTTCACTCCAAGAGCTTTACATACAGAGATGTCCTAAACTGACCAGAAAGTTACCTCATCAACTTCCTTCATTGGATAAATTAGTGATCACTGCATGTCAAGCTCTCACAGATTCAATGCCATGGGTTCCAAGATTGAGAGAATTAGAGCTAACTGGTTGCGATGCATTGGTATCATTATCTGAGCAAATGATGCAGGGAAACACATGTCTTCAAATCATGGCCATAAACAATTGCTCATCTCTAGTCACCATCCCTAGGGATGGCCTACCAAGTACACTAAGATCACTTGAAATCTATGAGTGCAGGAATTTACAACTAGTCCATCCTAAGAGTTTGATGCAGGAGTCTCACTACTATCATTCCCTTGAGAGATTACACTTAAAAAGTTGCTGTGATTCTCTCATCTCCTTTCCATTATCACTCTTCACCAAGCTTGAAGAACTTCATGTACAAGACTGTAGCAATCTCCAGTTGATTTCATCTGCTCCAAACAGTCTCCCATATCTTCGAAAGTTGAAACTGAAGGAATGCTCCAAACTGGCTTGGTTCCCTGAAGGAGGGTTGCCTGCTCCCAAACTTGAATCACTTTGTATCAGCAAATGTGGTGATCTCTCGCAAGAGACTGCATGGGGTCTTGAGGCAATGACATCACTGACTTCTCTTCATATCAGTGGACTTCCCAGTCTCACTTCACTAGAGCACACTGGAATTCAGTACATTGCCTCTCTCAAAATTCTGAAGATTAAAGCTTGTGATAACCTTGCATCCCTACCTTTACACAGATTAGTTACCTCCCTTTCTCATCTTACCATCAGAGCATGCCCATTGTTAACGTTGCTGTGTGGAAGGTACACAGGGGAATACTGGGATATGGTTTCTCGTATACCCTCTAGAGTTATTGAAGATTAGATGTCAAGTGCATATTCAAAATAAGTTCATATTGTATGAACTTCAAAAAAGTTCACTGATTTCTTTATGCATATTATGTTTATAAAAATTTTCGTTCATTCGTTTCTTTTTACTTTTTTAATTCTCGTCATTTTACTACTTTAACAGTGTTCAGGTGGAATTCAGTAACAAGTAGTTGAATTTACCTCAATTGTCTATAATTAAGACGAGTTGAGCCGAATAATAATAGGCTTATGTAACATCCCGAGCGCTGACGAAGGGGGTTACATGCATGAATGAATCAAATCGACACTCGAAAGAGAGGAATTTCAAAGACTCTGCAGGTATGACACTGCACAGTTTGGCATAACTTATAAGAATTAATTGGTACTACCTATACTAACAAGATGCATCTTCTTTTCGGTAGCCCGGAACGGAAGAACTCCATAGTTAAGCGTGCTTGACTTGGAGCAATTCTGGGATGGGTGACCTTCTCGGAAGTTTTTCCAGGAAGTGTGCGAGTGAGGAAAAAGCACACTGAAAAGTCTCGTGTTAGTATGTGGGGATAGTCATTGATTCTTGAAGCGGCCGAGCATTAAAAGTGGTATCAGAGCAGGACCTCTCTTCCAATACGGTGTGGTTCAAGGACGAACCAGGCGGAAGCTGGTGGGCATGTAACATCCCGAGCGGACGAGGGCGGGGAGTAATCGCCGGTGCAAAGAGGCATGGACAAGGAGCGGCTCCTGACAGGCTTTCAGTGGGGGGTTACATGCATGAATGAATCAAATCGACACCCGAAAGAGAGGGATTCCAAAGACTGTGCAGGTATGAGACTGCACAGTTTGACATAGCTTATAAGAATTAATTGGTACTACCTATACTAACAAGATGCATCTTCTTTTCGGTAGCCCGGAACGGAAGAACTCCATAGTTAAGCGTGCTTGACTTGGAGCAATTCTGGGATGGGTGACCTCCTGGGAAGTTTTTCCAGGAAGTGTGCGAGTGAGAAAAAAGCACACTGAAAAGTCTCGTGTTAGTATGTGGGGATAGCTTGAAGCTATAGGGAAAATTATCTTAGATAACGATCAATCAAATACTATATTGTTGAAACAATTTACTTACTAGAAATATCTGTTAGTTTTTGTTTTTTTTTATAAACTGTAATTAATCAATATGAAGGGATTTATGAGTCACTAAGTGATTAATTTGTGATTCCTATTTTCTTCTTCTTTTTATTTTTAAATTAATCTAAACAAATAATTATTTTGATATAATCACGTGCTCAATAAAAGAAGAAAAAAATAAAGTATCGTGTAAAGAATCAATTCAATTCAAAAATTTAAGTTGTTGGGTGAGACTATTCCCTCATACGAGAGTCCATTGAACTTGAAAATTTCATAAGACTTAATTAATTATTAATAAACTAAATGTGGCCGATTAAAACATTAAATGTGGTTAAAATATTGTAACGCCACTATTAGCCACATTCGTAAAAAGTGTGGCTGTCTTATTTAGCTACGTTTTTTTATGCAATTTAGCCACATTTTTAAATGTGGCTAAAAAATGATTTTTTTGTAATGTAATATTTATCCAGATCAGCTAGTAATTACATTTTGTTGATAAAAAAAAATTTCTCCTCTGCCAAACACCCCTCTAAGAATTTGCTGTGATTCTCTCATCTCCTTTCCATTATCCCTCTTGACCAAGGTTGAAGAAATTCATCAACAAAACTGTCGCAATCTCCATTAGAGCAAATTGTGATAACCTTGCAGCCTTACCTTTACACAAATTAGTTACCTCCCTTTCTCATCTTACCATCAGAGCATGCCCATTGTTAACGTTGCTGTGTGAAAGGGACACGGGAATACTGGGATATGGTTTCTCGCATACCCTCCAGAGTCATTGAGGATTAGATATCAAGTGCATATTCAAAATAAGTTCATATTGTATGATCGAACTTCAAAGTTCACTGATTTCTTTTTGCATATTATGTTTATAAAAATTTTCGTTCATTCATTTCATTTTTTGGATTAATTGTGCGTCGTTTTAAAGAATACAAATTTTAATGTTTAATATTATGTTATAGGGTTCACTTTTTTTGCAGTTACTGCAGATAAGTTATCTACCGTAAACCCAATACGACATCGTTTTCGGCGAAAATCATGGTATTTTTATAATTTTAATTTATTTCAGAGTTATAATAGTCTTTATATTTATAATTGTTTAAGATTTCAATACCAAAACGACGTCGTTTTGAAAATAAATACAGATAATTTATCTGCAATAACTGCAGAAACATTTTTTCCCTATTTCATATTATGTCTTACCAATAAGACATAATAATAATTATAATATGAAAATTTACTATTTTTCTCTCTCCACATGAGCTGAAGTGAATAAGGAGAGAGAAAATAATCACAACGTTTCATATTATAATTCTTTAAAAACACAAATCTTTTTCCCTTATTTTTTTTTTGGTATGCTTATTTTTTCTTTTTTTTAATTCTCGTCATTTTACTACTTTAAGAGTGTTCAGGTGGAATTCATTAACAAGTGGTTGAATTTACCTCAATTGCCTATAATTAAGACGTGTTGAGCCGAATAATAATATTTTCCTATATGATAAGCAAATTTTGACAGTTTGTTTCTCGCCGTTAATTACTATTTTAATGCATGCCCTATTTTCCTACTGATCATGTAAGGAGGCTTTCACGGATTACATTCTAATTCATCATCATTTATTGTATTCAATTTGTACTATAAGCAAGCTAATATGAAAATATTTGTTTATAATGATGTGATATTTTCTTGTTGACGGAATATAGAAAATTCTTACAATAAATTTAATTTCTAATTATTTGAATTTGAATTATTTTATTCTAAGTGTTCAGATCGCAACTAAACATACACGAAAGGAAAATTGTATTTTGTCTGAGGTTATATTAATAAATAAAACAGATTTATAGATTTAAATGTTGCTTAGAATTATTTTTTGCCTAATACTTCCATTATTTTTAATAATTAAACAAAATACAACTTTTTGAAACTGTAGTTACATTATCTTTTAATAAATCACACATGCATGCCCTTGAACTTTTAAAAGGGCTCAACAATAAGTGATAGGATAAGCTTTTTGATATCTCGATCCTGCATACCAAACCCATCACCATTTTGATAGAGTGTATGGGCCACACGAGCCGCATTTCTGGCCTGAGTAAGAAATGGTTCCACCGAAGAAGCAACATTAGTGGAGCAGTGCCTATTTATCTTTTTCCATGCATTGTTTATGATGCCTTGGATATGCTTTCTTGCTATCTCCTCTGAAACATCCATTTCATACATGTAGCATGTGATTGATGAAGCAGCATCACCCCTTTCTCTTTCAGCCTGTTGCATTTGTGATTGATTAATTCTATATTAACATTTTATAATTTAAGCAAAAAGAATGGAAATAATTAACAGAAAATATATATATATATATATATGAGTATGCGAGGCACAAAGTTACCACTGTGGTCCCTAAATCATTGCAAAGTCGAATTACAAGAGATATATTGTAGACCAAATCTTCATATGTGTGTAGAAAGTCATCTATCTCATCCGTTACTTCATGGATTGTGGCAAAATATGAATGGAGTAGAATTACTGGTCCCGAAGATGAAATCCAAGCATTGTTTAGATATTCTTGCAAAGATGGAATATATCCCTTTTTATACCACTCTGCTTCCATATATAATGCTTTGCAAAAATCTATCCACTGTAACATTAAGGGGGGAAATTGTTACAATCAAATCAACAATTGGTTAATTCGTTTCTATATATGTCTTTTACATTGATTTGAGTTTGAAAAAAAAAATGGTTATAATAAGTAGTAATGGTACCGCTTTCTTTAGGTAATGTAACACCATGTTAAAATTGTTTTCTCCAGCAATTTCATGAGCAGTTTCATTTGTCACATCTTTAAGTGCATGGAAGAGAATCCTCATGTACTCCGGAAGTTCTTCAAGTTCTTTGACATCCCATCTGCATGTGTATGAACATATGTAATGAAATTACTCTTATAAATAACCAGAAACATATAAGAGAGCTTAGCTTGTTGGAAGCTTTGCATTCAATCTACATCTTGCAATTTGGAAATAAACAAACCTATCAAATGCCATTGTGAACGGCTTCAATTCTTTAAATGAGGCATGAATATCATAAACATCATCAATCACTAGGACGAAAATAATCACTTTTGTGAGCCATTTCCTCATGGATTTGTACTTAGGCTCGAAAGCAACTCCGGCTGCACACATGAAGCTTTCGACCAATCTATTTCTTGCAAAGCTCAACTCTTTTTGTATGCCAAGATTCTCCCACCACCTAGATAACAAATTAAAAAGATAAATTAGTAGTCTTATAATTTATTTGTAAAATAAAGAATCATTTCAATTTAAAAGTTTGTGCAGTTAATCAGGTGAACACAAATTATTAATGATTTTATGTTTTATATTATATTTCTCTAACACGTCCCCTCGTATTAGAGTTTATTGGATTTGAAGGACGAACATTTCATATGTCCACTTATCTATAAAAAAAAACTCCATAATATATAATTATTTATTAATGAAATTGGATAGTAGAAATCAAACTCGTGGCCACTTGATCACTAGTTCTAATATTATTTAAAATATCATTTTAACCCAAAAACTTGAACAGTTATTTGAAAGCACATTAATGATTTTATATTTTATATTTTATTTCTCTAACATTATTTATTTTTATTTTTCAAAATACCTGGATAATTCCTTGACCTCGTTTTGAAGATTGGACTGAATGACGTTGAAGTTTAATTTAGCCAATTCAAATAAAACAGGGTTCATGTGTTTCTCCTTTTCGTATTGCATAACATGCCATTTGACTTCAAACCACGGTACTCTCCAATGGGACGGAAGCTCCAAAGCATGGACCACTCTGTCAAGAAGCATGTTATTGCTGGAAGTGAGAGTGAAAGCATTCTTCAGAGAATTGATTGCAAAAGTTTTGGCCTCATCCAATATATTTTCTCCTTCTAAGCTCAAGTGTGAGGCCTCAAGAAGCTCCATAACGTCTTTAACATCACCAGCAAAGGAGCTTTTCCTCAATATTATACCCTTTTCATCTAAGAAGTTACCTAGTATGCCTGAGTTTAATTTCAGAAATAACCAAAAGTTAGTTTGCAGGATCTCTATATTGTAATGATCAAGTTTTAAACGGAATATTATATTTACAAACTTTTTGTTTACAAATTCTTACAAATTACGTTATGTCTGACTGGTCATACTTCAATCAAGAATTTATAACCCATCATACTTAGTGTAATTTGTAAACGGATCATTTCTCTAAGTTTAATATGTGAAATATGCGACAAGTTATATTTACAAACTTTTTTCTTTACAAACTCTTACAAACTACACTATCTTCTCCCGGGAAAAGATAGTGTAATTCATAAAAATTTGTAAAGAAAGTTTGTAAATGGATCATTCCCCCGTGAAATATATAGTGAGACAGAGAGAGAGTTAGTTACCAGGCAAAACATTATGTCCATGCTGCCTTAGAAGACGGAAGCATAGTGCTGTTACTTGCAAATTCTGTCCTATAATAGTAGGATTGTTGCTGTTTTTGAAATAGACAAGTACAGTTTCGAGGAACTCATTGATTTCCTTCTGGAAGTGGATGGCAAGGCCTAGCTTTTGGATCCAATCAACAAACTCTAATTTTTGCAAAACGTCCACCTCTTGAACAAAAAGACCCTTTACTTCAATCACCAGCTTGTTTAACTGCGTGCTAAATTCTTCTTTCTGCGCAGAAATTGTGCAACCAAGTATAAATATATAAAAGAAAACCATATATGCTGACTCTGTTATTAATTAGTATTGTCTTACGAGGTCTTAACACATTTTTTCTTTAATTGGTATGATACTAAGATTAACTTTCCTTGCAAGTGCTTGTATTGAACTTGTCTCTTAGGTACACATTACTAAATCCTACTCTCTTTTCGTTGTTACTGAGCATAAACTTTCTCTTTGTGTACAGTAATCTAATAGTAATACCCTGTCTCTTCCGGATACAGATCCCATATTTACGACTATACAATCTACATTCATAGAATCATAATCATCTCGGATCGAACAGTTATTCATTGCTACAAGCTTAGTGTTTTATCACTTGAGTGCATCCTCATGAGTTATTTTGAAAAGTATCTAATTAACTTGCCGGATGTTAGGTAATTTTTTGTTAAAAAAAAAGAGAGGCTTTTGTGATTGTTTTTTTTATAAGTTACTTTTCAAGCTTAAAAAAAAACACTAAAACTATTTATTTAAAGTTCCTATGTATATTTTTTTTTTCAAAAAAACTTATTCTTATTTAAATTTTAAAAAGCATTTTCGAAAAACACAAACAAATTTTGTTGGCAAAATAATCCATGAATCTGTTACCCATCCAATAATTCATCTATATATAAATCTAATAAAGTTCATCTGATTATTATAATTACATATAACAATTTTAAAAGATTAGATCAATTCGGTCAAGTTATTTTCTTTAAGGGGTAATCTTATCTATCCATGTTTGGTATGAGATTTTTAAAATTTTTCCGAGAATCTAATTTTCTCGAAATTTTATTTTGTGTGTAATTTTTTTTGAAAATATCATCCAAGAATATCACCTTGTGGGTGGTATTTTAGGATTTCTATGATAAGGAAAATTTTAATACAATCAAACATAGTATCAAGAAAATTAAATCAATATTTTCAAAAATATTTTAACCTACCAAATAACTTTTTGATAATATTCTCAGAAAATTCATTTTCCAATCATATTCCTCAAAAACGTAATAACCAAAACTGCACCCCGAATGCATGCAAAGGAGAAATAATAGCATGCATACACAACATTTTTGGCTAAAAACAATCCAAAAAAGCCAAGTGCATATCTTCAATCACACTGTACATATTTTATTTAATTTTGAGAACTTTAATCCTAAGATCGAGTATACCAAAAGATTTGATCCATTATGTAAAACTTTTATACTATTTTTCAAATAACTGAAAAAATTTAGACTTCCTTGATAGTATTTATGATATTGTTTTTTAAAAAAAAATCATGCTTCAATGTACAGAATTCAATATTGGTATAAATAAACTTTATACTGATAATAGATCAAAATTAAATCCTAATTCTAAATATTTAATTATCATAACTTAACCTTTTAAGTTTTATTTTATATAAAAAAATTAAAAAATTAATATTGATGATTTGGATAATTATCCACTAAAATAAATTAATAGATGATCGATCGCTTACCAAAAAAAAAAAAATTAATAGATGATCGATATCCCTCTATTAAATAGATCACGGGGAGTGAATTTTCTAAGACATTTGGAACGGATGATAAATGACAAATTTTAGTTACTTTGCCAAAACAAATAATAAATGGAAATTTTTATCACAGATATATATGTCAAACTAAAGATTAACCTTATCTTGGTCATTAGGTTAACTAGTGGTCAGATTGCGGTCAAGTAGTCAAACTGAAAATTTTGAACAAAGAAAAAAATCATATAAAAAAAATACTTAAGAAAAAAATTATCATATAATGTAACAAAATTAATAATGATAACACCCAACATCATGTTAGAAAAGTTAAGACACTCCCACGTGATGTTTCTTAAAATCATTTACCCCAATTATTTTTTTTATCACTTATTTGGCATGTAATTTTTCCTTTTCAAGTTTATGTTTATCACTTACTTTGGAGTGCTTTAGTTATAGTTTTTCCCCTCATTCATGTTAGAGAAAATTTGTAATGTTGAAGAGAATTTGGTGCGGTAGAATTCTTCTTCCCAAAAAAGCTAACATTAAAATGACTGAAGCATAATATACCTGATTAGAATTGGGTTCAAGGAAAAGTCATGGTAATCTCTGCAAACTATAATATGAATGAAGAAAAAGACTACACAGAAAACATCAAATTGATTTTTTTTAAGTGCACAAAATGATTAAGGTAGCTAAATTTTTAACAGTGTTAATATGAATTTGGATGAAACAATTTACAAAGGAGGTTATTAGAATTCAAACTCCTCCTTCTCACCACCAAAGAATTCAGATTGAATTTCACCATCACCTATCAAGAATCTTATGGAACCTTGTAGAAAGTTATGGATGCTTGAAGAAAACTCACGGAAGCTTGTAGAAACTTGGAGAAGCTTGAATACTCTAGAAGAATCCAAATCTTTCTTGAATTCTATCGATTGTCAACCCATGATGAGTTGGAAATCTTATCCTATCATTATGAGTTGTATTTAGTGTGTGGTCGTTATAGGTTGTCAAATTCAATTTGAAGACTAGAAAGTTGCAAGAATGGTCAAGGATGGTGACTAGTGATTTTAATAGGTTATAAAGTTCAAGTTAAATTCTTCCATATACACACACACACACACGTAGTATGTTAGGTATTAGACTATTAGATGAGTGAATAGTGTGAGAAAATAAAGTGTTGAAACACTTGTGAGTTGAAACACTTAATTGTGAGAAAAATAGAGAGAAGAAAAGAGAGTTTGAGAAAGAATTATCTTGAGAGAGAAAAATTAGTCGTAATGTTGTAACACTTGTGTTTTGTTTTGTAAAAGTTTGATACTATAGTACTTAATCTACTTTTCCTATTTCATTTCCAACAATATAACTCTTATAAAATCCTTAAAAAAATATAAAAAATGCATAAGATAAGTGATAAGTGATTATAAGGGAAACTATTTTTCCCTTAATTTTAATATGGACTTCACAGCCACAATTGTACGGCTGCAATAGATAGTAGATACCACTACTTTGAGGCACTTCTTGAGCTGAAGGGGGTTCTCTACGTGACTTTCAGATGACACGCACGGAATCAGAAACTGTAACACAAACTTCTGAACTATCTAAGCAACTGTTGGTCCAACTTACTGAACCCATTATGAGAAGAAAATAAACGACAACATCATATATGAAGCCTAAATTTCAAAGAAATTAATTAAAAAAATAATGTATATTTTTGCTGTATGACTACGATAATATATACATATATATATACTCTGAAATAAAATGACTAAGTAAATAAAAACAAATATATGTATATATATAGAGAGAGGTAGGATCCTTTGGCATCGATGTCAAATTTAAAATTTGACACCTCATCTGAGAGCCATTAGATCAAAAAAGATCAATGGTATCACATTTTCATTGATCTTTTTTGATCTAATGGCTATCAGATGAGGTGTCAAATTTGACACCTCATCTGAAAGTCATTAGATCAAAAAAGATCAATGGTGTCACATGCTTACAAATCAGAGTCATTGACTTTTTTTAATCTAATGATTCTCAGATGAAGTGTCAAATTTCAAATTTAACACTGTGTCAAAAGATCCTACCTCTCTATATATATATATATATATATATATATATATATATATATATATATATATATATAGGAGCATATGTATCTCACATCATATTTACTGGCAAGGGACTGCAGAAAGTGGTGTTTCCAAATGTTGGGTTTATAATTTGCGGAAACTTTTTGAGACGATAGATGGTCATAGTCATAGTGATAGTGTATCTTCTTCACGTTGCTGCTCATTGTTTCTCTCTGCTACCAACTGGCCTCTTGATAGCCTTCTAGCCAAAGCTTGCTCCCTATATATAGGCCTCAAGGCTCAAGCCTCATACACAAATTATTGAATTAATTTTATTTCTTTTGGAGCTGCATAGTAATGAAGACGACAAATTTAAGGTTAGTAACAACAGTAAGTACGTGGGTCCTATGATTGTCACAGCTGCATAGTTGCATTTTTGGTAAAACTATAGACGACAAATTTAAGGTCAGTAGCAGCACGTGAGTCGGTCCTATGATTGTCAGAGTCACAGTTGCATTTTGTACATAGATTTTCTCGTAATATTTAAAAACTCGGCCCGGCTATCAATCTGGTCGAGGACAGGTATCACAAAATTATAAGTTCAATTGAGGGGTCAAAGGGTTATTTCGTTGATCCAGTTTATATATTAAATAAATATAAATATATACATCTTATATGAAAATATAAAAAAATAATTATCAAACATCTAAGATTTCAAAATATGTAATAAGTAATAATAATAATGTCGCACCTACCTTGTTGGATCGAATAAAGTTAGCTTGTGTGGGTCTTAAGTAGGAAAGCTTCCACCATCATCTTCTATGATTTTTACTGTTCTGCCTCTTTTGAGAAGATTTTTGATAAAGAAAAATTTAAAGGAAGTAAGAATGAGATTTTATTTTTCGTTGATAATCGTAAAGATTTCATTTGAATGGGTAAAATTCTTACCTTTTATAGTCGATCACTGCAGCGATGACCGATTGATTATAAGTTCTTGAAGATTCACGATAGCGAGGTGAAGATTGAAGACGTTTGGGTCGCTGGGAGAGAAGAGAACAATTAGATTTAGATTTGCAAACATTTTTTTTAATAAAACGACGTTGTTTTATGGAATTTAAAAAAAAAATATGCAGTGTGACCCCTCTGACCCGGGAGTAACTGAAATTCGGCGAAATTTTGGAAGTCGTATGAGTCGATGTGCATATAGGATCTAACTTGTGACCCTAACCCTCGGAGGGTCGGAGTTGATCCAGGTCAACCCGAGAGCGAGGTGGAGTTTTACTCATATGTAGTGTGAGATGGTGCATAAACAAAAAGAATATATATTTATTCTTCCTATTTTTCTCTAAATAAACTGAATTCAGATTTTACAAACCTCCTTTTTCCCCCTAAATAAATTGACTCATTTATAATAATTTAGAGCATTTATTACTAAGAATGAGACTATTATTTCGTATATTAAATATATCAAACATATAATTTTTAAAAAAACTGTTTTTATTTTTATTTTGATCATTAAATACTCTCATGTTATTATTGACTTTTTTTTATTTATCCGTTACAAATAAAATATACTTAAGCAGTTTTTAAGTTTGCTTAATTAATTTCTTTACTTGTCTGTGTACTTTTTACTGATGTGCTTAATCTGATTTTCATAAATCATAGGATAAATTATTTTATTTTTTAATATACCGACGTTAATTATCTTTTTACGACGATACTCTGCCTTGAGCCGACTATGGCCTAAGGGACTAATCTTGAGTCAGAAACTAGTCA